ATGAGTTCCCTCCGGTAGTTTTATTCGTGATTTGCGGCGATTGCTTATTGCCTGGTACTTGCTTATTGAAAGGTAACTTTGAGTTTAACCTTATGTATGACAAATGTAGATTTAATGGCAGCTTCTTTGTTCGTAGTTTGAATGCCAGCGTGGAGAGGAGTACCAGGACTGGTGTTTCTCCTGACAAAATGTTGCCATTTCCCTCCTTTTTGGGCCTGTTTTCTATTCCTTTGCCTAGAGACTCCTCTCTAATTTTGATTTCTGTTTTTTATCCATGTCTGAGAAGACTTTCCACCAGCAGAGAACTTTCACGTGTGAATTTTTTCAAGTGCGCCATGAAAACAAAGTATCAGTGCGAATAGCATGAAATTGCCGCGAATAACACCTAGGGGAATCGCCCTTTTATGAGATTATGACACCCTCCTGATTTCGTAACTTTTATTTGAAAATACGTTTTCCTAAATAAGTCGGACGCTTTTTTGAGATGTTAAAATTTTTCTGTTTTGTAAACGTTAGGTAAAATGTCTAACTTCAATCTATTCTAATAAAAGAAAACAAAAAAAACCCCTTTATCGCCCTGAAAAAACCATTTTAAATGTACATTCTTAAAACGATCTAAAAAGCGAGTGAGAGCTTAAATTGTCTCAGATACAAACTTTGCGGTAGCCTACGTGAGCCGCTTGCTACCCAGTTGATAGAATTGTTTACTTATGCTGTAACCTAAAAGTTGTATCTGCGTAGGGTTTCAAAAAGCATTTAATTAAGTTACTGTTAGGTGATGAAATTAGTGTTTGCTTGCAAAATTTCACCTGGAAGAGTGCCGGGGGGAGGGGCTCATATGGTGTATAAAGGGACGAGCTGCTAGACAGGGTATTGTTTAACTGGCCTCTCTTTCTTGAACAGGTTCTAAAACTTTCCGGTTGTGTATGAAAACGTCAGGGTTTGAAACCCTTTGCTGCACCCTTCTACCCCCACTCGAGGGGGGGGGGAGGTTACACCTGTCCACATAGCTGTGTCCAACACCGCTGCACCAATAGCCTATCGGCTAAGACCCCTAAAAATTGTGTTCGTTTCAGCCTTACCCTTAATGGAACGTTAAACTAAGTTCTAAAATTAAGCTTGATTATTTTAGACAAAATTTGCTGATTTCCTTATTTAAAATTATCTCGAATTTCAGAACAATTCCAATGTCAACACCACTGTTGCTGAGTTGCTTCAACGAGCAGCCCAGATGATAAGCGATGGGAATACACAAAGCACACCATCGACGAACATTCCAGTGGCGGGCCCATCTAGCTCAGTTGTCGAGGAGCACCGCAGGTTGTTCAATCGACAACTGGTAATTTATGGCTTCTTATTATTCCTATCAGAGGTTCGATGCGCCGCAATGCCCTACATCCACGCTTCTATCACACTCGCTAACACTCTCAACCACACTTGAGCGGGTCGTGTACCACACTCCAGAGGGTCGTGCGGTGAGCGATGTACGCCAATAAAAATGTTTCTGCACGGGCTAGATCTCTGGCGTCGAGTTGTTATGCTCTTTAGACTGTAGACCTTATTTACATTACTTTAATCAAAAATGAAAACTTTCAGCTGACAGGTAGCTTGTTTTGGCATGCTGTGAACACTTAATGGATCTTAAAGGCTTTCAAGTTTTCTCTTCTCAGAGGAACCTTCCTGACTGGCAAATCAATCAATTTTCCTATGCCATGCGTGTTTTCCTTTTTTTATTACCCTATACAAAAATGCCCTTTGAGAGCGAATTTGCTCTTTCATTCGCGGTAACTTTACCCGTGCCGATTCATTTCATTTGTACTTGATAAACGTATTCCGTACCATCAACTTCTCATAAAATTCAGAAATGTATTCTGCTTTTTTTGAGTCCTGCAAGGAAGGCATTAACAGAGGCATTTCCTCTAATAACAGTTTTGCCACTTACAGAGAGTCCATCCTTACGCGAACAGGCGGCATAACCGTGTAAGCAGGTCCTCCCATAGAGCACAGAGAATCCCAGAAAATAAAGGTAACTCATGATCCCAGATTTTTTCTATATACAAAGGGGCTTTTGCAAGACCTTTTTGACCGGAACACTGGCCCCTGCGCCTACAAGCCAGGTATTCTGAGCTTGTTAACTTGAACTTTTCTTTAAGCCGGAAAAGGAACTAAGCGACACCATCCTATATTTAACATTTTGAGAAGGTTTTAAGAAGTCTTAGAAATGAAGGAGCATTGATAAATTTTCCTCACTCCTTTTTGTCATTTAGTAGGACTGACTTTGTGCATTTTTAATTCGGTGCGCTCTTGTCTGTCACTAGTCCTTCTACTAAACCCAAAACATTATAAATACCATTAAATCATACAGAAGTTAATTTGCATGCAGTATTGACCTTCTCTCTGAGGGAGAAATTACTGCTCAACGCCATTAGGATGACTTTTTCGATAGGATATCATTTAAGAGTAATGTTTACAACTTAATGCAACTACAACTTCTTCAAACAGCACTATAATTTAAAACAGAAAAAACCATTACCAGAACTTTTGCTTGGCGTGACCAGCTCACCATTCCAACAAACCACGAGAAACTTTTATTAAAAGAAAATGGGCTTGGAGAGAAAAAGGTGAAGATCCCCACGAATGCATCGAAGGAGGAGGTGAAGCAAGGTTTGTACAAGTGAGTTACATAATTCTCGAACCCCTGCCAGTTACGATCTCGATTTCCTTTTATTTCGTAGTCTTTCAGCTCCATCCGTTAATAAACCTATTTCTTGTGTTTGTATTTCCAGGGCCTTTCGTCCATTACAAAGTTGTGGCGGATTCGAAATGCTGTTGTGCGCAGACAACTCACGTACCAAGTTACAAGTGGTTAAGTATGGGTCTTGCAATACCGACGAGCTTAGGTGTTTGGGCATGGGCCGAGTTAATATTCGGCCCATACAAGTAGATATCACTTTGGGGGACATAGAGGATGACGATGAACATGCGGAGGAGTGCCTGCTTTGTAGGGAGTCTATTCCACTGCGTGGAATGCGAGTCCATATGGAAACGTGCCGGGTTTGTGTTTTGGCTAGTTTTTGCGGCTACTTCTGGGTAAAATGTCGAGTCTTCTGCTGAGACTAGAGTTTCGTTTTGGAATAATTTGTTTTTAGGGTGAAACAAGGCCTGGAGAAACATCCGGCGATCATCTCCCGCCAGCATTTGGCGAGAGGAGGTAAGTAGAAGTGGTCACCCCACTTGATAAGTGGTTATCGTTTCCGCGCTTTTAGAAAGTACTAAAAATTTTTTTTTGGTATTCCATGTAGTTGGAAATTCCTTTTGTAAAAATTGTTTGGTTTTCATTTCNGCTTACAATAATTTTTTACTAAGGTTGAGATCGGACGTCAGCATTATCAGGCGCCTCTGGCAGCCGCTTTAGTCCATGTAACGACCTCACCTTTTCCCACCCATCCCACCCCAGGGGAGGACATCCATCACACAGTAATCTCGTGCGTGGGAAATTAACGTCTCCTACCCCTAACCCTGCAGGAGACGGGACCTCCATTTATTCGTCCCTATCCGAGAAGACTAGAAGATCTAACCATTTCTTGATGTTGAGAAAGGAAGCATATTCTTCTCAGTTAATTTTAAGACCCTGAGTGTTGGTCCGGCCGGTATTGAACTCTCGACCTCCCGCACAGCAGTCCGGCGCTCTCCCAATTGAGCTAACCAGGCGGCGGTCAGGTAAATATGCAATGCCTATAGAGACTCACCAATGTAATTTTCACTTGGCAAAGAAAAATTTAAATTTACCTTTTTATTGCAGGTTTCAGTTTGTTGCAAGGTGGTCCTTTGCCTACTTTCCTTGCTAAAGAGTAGCTTCAGCGTATCTTCACAAAAAATGATTTGACCAATCTGGGGGAAGTAGAAACCCACTTTCGGTTAGGACTCGAGAGATTCGGACCTGTTGAGGTAAGCTTTCACAGTGACCGGCTAAAACCGATGGTCTAGTCTTCACCCTTTACTAAGCGAGAGAAAAAAATTTAATCAGCTTGACTACAGTGGAACCTTGCAATACCGACTCTCGCTAAATAAGGAAAGTTTCTCTTCAAGCGCTCCCTACGAAAAAACCCACCTTGATTTCTTTCACAGATGATGGGCTGTTGTCTAATCCCCTTGGGATCTCTGATTTAAGGAGCTGGTCTAAAAATTGTTGGAGGAGAATTGGCTCTTCCCTTTGATCCTCTCTTGCCCACACAAAAGATTTGTATTACCTTTGTATCTTATAATTTTACAGATTCCATACTTTCCGAGAAAATAAAGCTTCTTTTCTTCTTAATCTTTTAGCTCCTTCATAGGAAACCGAGTCTACCGAAAACAACGACGAAACAGCCATATGTCTCCTCAGTTGTCTAAATTATGCAATAGTTTTAATACAACAAGTTGGTTCGAGAGAAAGGAAAAGGTCGTAGAATGAGGATAGGACTAACTGGTACACGTCGCGCCAGAGACTTTCTTTACGCGAGTTGTGTACGCTTCGTCCGGTGATGTAACTCTCTCTTCCGGGCCCTCTTGCTATATGGCTCAACATGTAGTGCGCCACTTCTCTGTTTTCAACTCCCATGTCGCCCCTGACTCGCGATGGCAATCCCCATTCAGACACCGCACCCTCAAAGAGACGCAAGACTGTGTCAGGCGTGTTATTCGTATCGCACTTAAGGTAAACGACGGAGCGACTGTAACCGTCAATACAGCCGTGAACCGCGAATTGCCAACTAAGAAGAGAAGGAATAGAGTCGTAAACCAAAACGATATGTTCATAACTCGTGAAAGGTTGCTGTTAAAAGAAATGGTCCAAAGTTATTGAGACCTGAATTATAACAACTTTGAACAATTATGTAATCTAAACAATGAGATAGGTGACAGCTACCGCATCAGTTTGAGATTCCCGTCCATATGCCAAAGGGCCAGTGGGGAACGTACGTTATACACACGTGTACGAATGGTATTCATAGACCTTAGCCTCCTGCCTATGGGATCGACTCTCTTTATGGCACTCCTTAGTCTCCACCTCTAGACGCGTACTCCTTGGGAAACAAGGTAACCCTCGATAGTTTTACAACCTATCAAGAAAAGTAGGGCGGGTTTTAACTTCAAGCACCTGTGACACAGTAGTGAAGCGAACGCCACTTGTCGGTGCTTTCTTGAATTTTCTGCTTAGAGGGTACAAATTGTGTTTCTAATATGCAAAATTTTGTGTAAACACCGCAGCGGGCTTAAACGCTCTTGCCTGTAAGTTGATTACGTTTTGCATGAATCTACTGGAAGAGAAGAGCATACAGGATTTTCAAAAACGGTCTTATAAAAAGTGTACGTCTATACTAAAAAAAACATGTTCTCTTTTGCTATGTGTGATTATGTCTACGTTTCTTGATTTGTTCAGTCAATAACGTGTATCGTTAGGCAAGCTTCAATTCATTTTAGCAATCTGAAAGAAATAAAGACAAACGAGAAAATCTCCGGTTTTAGACGCTCATCATGTCTAGTTCCAGGGGAATAAATTGTTCTGTAATTATTAACTGGTTCTTAAATTATTCATAATGAGGCTAAGGGTAAAGAATCTTTATTTGTTAAACGAACATGAGCGGCGACAGCCTCAAAAGATTCTATAATGAATACTTACTTACCCGATCTAGAGAAATTTGTCACAATACGCTGGATTCAAGAATCCAGGAAATCGTCCTCTATGTCACTGTAGCGAGACTTGTTCGTCAACTCGTATTGGGTCGGTTCATCCGGTTTTCAATAGTTCGCTTGCTAACTCCAAGCATTAGAGCCATGTCTTTATACGTGAAGTTGTTCTCTAACAAAGATAACTACTGTTCATGAAAGAAAACACAGTCCTTTAAGAGTAGATAGTTTACACTGAAAATTGAATGAAACCTTAAAAAGGGAACTCACTAAATATATTATGGATAACCACAAAAAGTGGTTTGACGAAGCCTATCAGCTCGAAAAAAATGCAATCCCTTCATATGGAGCATTTAAGGATACTTTCAAATGGTGCTATTTTTTTTTCGTTTCAAATTTTCAACTTTAAAATGCACAACGGATTCGTCCTCCTTACCTCTGAAAAATAGCAGCTGCTGCTCGGAAATCGCAAAATTAGGTCTTCCTCGGCGTCCAACCTCACTCACTGCTGGTGCTTCATACCCTTGAAAAGGCTCTTGTTGATTCAAGTTTACGTTCAGATGTGTACGAGCTTGATTGATTAAGTCAACCGCTTCTAAAGGAATGTCCCCATTGACCAAGGCTGCCTCGTAAAGAACCTCTAGTCTTAAAACAGTATTTTCTAAATCGCCTCCACGATTTCCGCCTTCTTGTATGTGTTCAATTATTTCATTTAGGGAATCTAATAAATGCTGACGAAAGTCCATGACTCTTAACAGTACTGAAGGACAACAAACAACGATACCTGTGAGGAAAAAATTCTTAAGGTGGAGACGAGGCACTTGTAAACCAAGCACTAACTTTTTTTTTCTTTTTTGTTTTTTTATCATCTGGAAGTTTTCATTGCTTTGCCATAAAGGCAAGAAGAGAAACGCTACAAGTCACGCAACTCTGGTCAATACATCTAGTTTGTACCCAACTCAGTCAGTAACAATGATAATAATAATGATAATCATCATCATCATCATCATCGCAAAAATTAAGGGTTGAGGTAAAGAAATGTAAAGATATATATAAATATAAATAAACACTTCTACCGAAACCAACGACGAAACAGCCACATGTCCCCTCAGTTGTTTAAATTATGCAATAGTTTTTATACAACAAGTTGCGTAACAGATCGAAAGGTAAAACTCGACCTATAGCTGGACAACTACGTACAACTAAGTGCATTACAAATCCGCACTAGCCTTCCTTAATAAGTGATGACTACGGAATGGAAAAGAGCACAGGGAAGATAGGTATGTATGCACGCAAAACCAACTCGGAAAATATATTGCTTTGGTGAACACTACTTTTAGAATGCGAAATAATTTTTAACTGTTTCCGGTGGAGGCTTATAACCTATGTTTGATCGAGAAAATAAAAATAGAATTTACTTTTACTATCACTGCACCCAGGAAAAAATAGATAAAAAAAGGAATATAATGTACACCTCTTTAAAATAATAAATGTAAGCAGTCTTCCCTTAGCTTAATACTCTAATCGTAAGGAAAACCAATTAAAGCATTCCGTTATCACTNGGATGTTGGGGTCATTTTCCAGCATTCCTGGTTTTACGACTTGGGGTCGTATTCCAGTAATAGGGTGCTTAAGCAACCACGACGAAAGGGACGACGACGACGTCAAGTAATCGCGGAGGGTCTGGAACGAAGACGTTGTTTTTAGCGGGAAAATGAAACTTAAGGAGGCTGGATATAGTTTTTCACTTTTCTGATGCAAGATATTTAAACTAAAATTACGAAGCTTAACTTTAACGAATCGCGATCACATTTTCCCCTGAAATAAAGATATTATTGAAGAATCAGTTTGTTGTAAATATCTTAAAAAATTCGTTGCCATGGCAACGTTGCTGGCTTACAATACTGGGTCCAAAATTAGACTTGACTTGAATTTTCTTAAAAACTGGACGGTGAATTTATTTTAGATTTTGCATGCGTTCTTTGATTGTCTTGGTCTACTTGACTGTTAAGTTAAAAAAAATTCTGCCAGAAAGTACGGTGGCCCAGAAGGCTCAACGCAAACAAAAAATATACCGCAGCAAATAAAAAATATGCTGCAGTAAATAAAAAAATATGCTGCAGCAAATAAAAAAATCAAAACGCAAAGAAAAAAAGTACCGCAGTAAATTAAAAAAATGCACCGCAAACAAAAAATACTGCAGCAAATAAAATATGCAACGCAAACAAAAACAAAAAAACGCAATCAAAAAAAATTGGAACGCAACGCCAAGGAAGACTGGGTAATAGTTCCTAGTTTCCCGCCAACACTCCTTTCATCCTTTGCTTGTCCACCTTTCCGAAACCATGTTCTGCAGCGAACTTATGACAGTACCATGCTGCTCCTTTAAAAAATCAATAATAACTCTATTTTCATACCCATGATGAAAGTAATCTTCTATAATCCTACTCAGATCGCTTTCGTCCATAACCAAAAACGAGTTCCAGTTCATGCTGTTTTGGCGAGAAACTACGAACTATTACCCAGTCTTCCTTGGCGTTGCGTGCCAACTTTTTTGTTTGCGTTTTCTTTTTTTTTGTTTGCGTTGCATATTTTATTGGCTGCAGTATCTTTTGTTTGCGTTGCATTTTTTTATTTGCTGCTGTCCTTTTTTTCTTTGCGTTTTGATTTTTTTTTATTTGCTGCAGTATATTTTTGTTTGCTGCAGTATATTTTTTATTTACAGCAATATATTTTCTATTTGCTGCAGTATATTTTTTATTTGCTGCAGTATATTTTTTGTTTGCGTTGAGCCTTCTGGGCCACCGTAAGAAAGTTTTAGGAAAAGGGGCCTTTTTTAGAATTCATCGTCAACTTTTTTTCCCTCTGACAGAATTTTTTCGAATTTATGTAAAACACGCACAGAGCCGTTCAAATTTAACGTGCAAAAAATAACAAAAAATTCACCGAGCGGAAACGGAAGACGTAAGTCTAACGTTTCAAATTTCCGAAAATTTTAACTCAACAAGATGGGCAATTGCGCATGCGCAACATTTGTGTCACGCTACGCCACTTGCCACGGACGCCACGAGGTTTTGGACGTGTTCTTTGCCAAATGTCCTTCGCGCTCTTCTAAAGAGCTTTATGTTGCTAAGAGAGGTTCACCTTCTGGGTGGATTGCGCCTGGAAATGGCTGCTGTTCTATTTTCCTTCAAAGTGCTGGTTAATTTGGTGCAAAGTGTCGGGATGTTTTGTTCCTCTTGGAGCTGAAATCATCGACGCGATGTGGTTGGCGATTTTCTAAGAAATTCTTATGGAGACCAGTGCTTCCTTCCCACCGTTGTTATAAAGATCTTTTAAGTCATCGTAACACAGACCGCTTTCTGCAGTTTTCTGAATGGTGTTTTCTTAGACGAGGAGCCCGTTATCGCCCTGTGAATAGAGCTTGTCTTCGAAAGTTTACATGCGTTCGTGGCGTCCGTCAAGAAAAGAGAGCTTAAGCATCAGACGTTTTTGATGTCACGGACGTCAGAATACCGGGGGAGACTGGATCGACAACGGCGTTTTAGGCGCGAAATTTTTTACTTAAGCTGGACACCTGCGTCACCACGAACGTGACAGCTGATCACAGTTGTCAC